ACAGAAGTCAAGTGGAATAAAGCTCTCAATTTAAGTCCAGATATACTGAACCTGTCCGGAAAGAAAGTGAGAAATAGTCTTGAACACATTGGCACAGGAATCAACATCTCAAAACCAATAGTAGAAGAATACCAATAGCACAGACACAAAGATCAAAAAATAATAAATAGGGTATTTTCAAACTAAACCATTTTTGTAAGAAAAAAGGACACTGTCAATAAGACAAAACAGCAGCCCACAGAATAGGAAAAGATCTTCACCGTCCAAACATCTGACAGAGGACTGATTTCCAAAATATATTACAGCTTCCCAAAAGTACACATTAAATTCCCAAAGAATCCATTTGAGAATGGGGTATAGAACAGGTCTAAACAGAGAATTCTCAATAGAAGAAATGGCTGAAAAACACTTGAAGAAATGCTCAACATCCTCAGTCATCAGGGAAATGTAAATCTAATTGGCTCTTAGATTCCATCTTCTACCTGTGAGAATGGCTAAGAACAGAACCACAAGTGAGAAAATTTGCTGAAGAGGATGTGGAGTAAAAGAAACAATCTTCCACTGCTGGACGACCATTGCCCAACTATGTTCATAGCAGTTTTATTTCTAATAACCAGACCTGGAAAACCGTATATATCCCTCAATCGAAGAATGGGTAAAGAATATGTGATCCGTTTACACAAGGGAGTATTATTCAGCTGTTATAAACTACAACATCATGAAATTTAAAGGAAATTTGATAAAACTAAAAAAAAAATTATCCTGAGGTAGGTAACTAACCCAGACCCATAAAGACAAGCATGGTATCATCTAATTGGATATTTGTGGTAAGTAAAAGATAACCATGCTACAATCCACAGTCCCTGAGATGTTAGGTAACAAGGAGGGTCACAAGGGGAAGACTGAGATTTCCCTTGGAAGGGGGAAGAAGAGGTTTGATAGATGAACTGGAAACATGTAATGAACATGAACATGAGTCATCACATGGGGGTGGTGTGAGAGAGGGAGTACCAAAAGAGCAGAATGGAAAAGGGGTTTCTCTTCTCAGCAGTAGAAACCATAGCTCAGAAAATTGTAAAATAAAAAAAATAGGTCTACTTTATGGTAAAGTTTGAAATTATTTTCATATTATAGTATCCATTTATATTTTGAATAAAAAATGTATGATTTTTTCATTCATATGTATTTAGATGCTAGATTTTAATTCCCTCCACCAAGTATAAAAATGTTACATATTAGAATAAAAATAAACATTTGTGCCATGTCATCTTAAAAATATTTTTATAATGGCTTCAATTTTAAAGTATTCTATCACTTAGTAATTTTGTAATTGTTGGAGACATGTAGTTACATGAAATTCAAGTTGTCCAAGCATAGATATAATACATGTGTCAAATTACCTTTATAAAATAGTGTTTTGCCCCACAATTGACAATGATTAGTATTGAATAATGCATTCATTAGTCATTTACTAAAATTATATTTTACTCTATTTTGAATTGATGTTAAAATGAGTGAACTTGAAGAATACTTAAGTCTTTATTTATGCAATGTTATACATTCATTTCCTGAAATTATGAGTGAAACCAAATGTTTTTGTTCAAAACTCATTAGAAATTTTCGAAAACAGCAACTTCTCAAATGCTAACACTTCCTTTTCTTTATCCGAGGTGTAAATATCACATCAATGCCTTTGTCAGTCTTATTTCAGTAAATATTAGAAACTGTTGACTTGAGAAAAGTAGATACCAGTTTTCATTTGAAAACCATCCAACCTGACACAAGAGACATCATTGCAAACAACTAGAGGAGCGAATTAAAGAAAGACCTTTGAAGTCTAGATTTTTTTCACATATAAGATATTATAGTCATTAATTCATGCCTTTGGTCAATAAGTATCTTAAATATAAATTTCTTCATGCTTATTGGATAGTGTTCAATACAAAGGTGATTGATATGTATGTGGTCTTCCTTTAAAAAAACCTTTAAGATTTGAACAGACAGAGAGAGACCCATCTTGGAAGCATTCTGTGTTTATGTTTGGAAGATATTTTGCAGTATCTCCACAGACTTGTTCAGTCTACACAGGCAAACATTTGAAATTTAGTATATTTAATGATTTTTCTTTATACACATATATGAGGACGAACTCAATATGTTTTAAAAGTTCCCAGTGGTGTCATTAGTCTCTAAAATATTCTAAAAGATAACTTCTAACTTTTTAGATTAAAATTGACATTGCTTACTTAGAGTCAGGGTCTCACAATGAAGCCCTAACTGTCTAGGAACACACAGTTACCTGTCTACCTTTACTGCTTTGCTGCTGTAATTGAGGTGTGAGTATTCAGTACTTGGCAGAATCTTTTATTAAATGGAGTTGTTGACACAATGTCCTACAATAAGTAGCTCAAGAGGGCCTCAGCTAAGAGTGTTTTGTTTTGCTGGGCTCAATCCCTGACTCTACAATTATAAACTGCTTCTTCATTTTTCTCTGGAGAATTTCTGTATGAATATTGTGGTTTGGGATAGAATCCTAAGAGTGAGAAAGGCAGTACCTCTGACTGCTCTGCCTACTAACGGAACCTATTTCCTTCTATAAGGTAGTTCTGTCTAGGTCTGGGACAATGGTATATGACAAGATTTTTTGCATTCTGCTATGCCAAATTTTGTTAATATTACTTGAAGGATCACTCTTTTCTGAAGGAAAACAGAGTAGAAATGGGTCTGGGGATGGGGAAATGAGGGCCACTGAGATGAGTTGAGGTGTGGGGAGGATGGGAGTGGTGGAGGAGGAAAAAAGAGGAGATTGTGTTTGGAATGTATTGTATGAGTGTAGGCATAGAGGATTTTTGGTTTTGTCGTTTTATTATTTTTAGAAAAAATTTAGCCAATACTATGTTTTGTTTTTGCTTTCACGCCATTTCTTCTTTCTGGACTCAAATTACACAGTTGTTTTGTCACATTATATTACTCTACAATGGCACTAATTCTCAACTCTCTAATTCTATTTCTTTTTACTTTCATTTCAGTAAATTTTACTTCTGGGGTCAAATTATCTGATCTTCCTTAAAGCATCCAACTGATCTAGTACACTTTTTATCACAGTGTACGTTTTCATATTTGGATATTTCATAGCAGTACTTTTAATATATTTGTTTCATCATGAAGAAGTATGTTGCTTATGTGTTATTTCTTTTCAAAATAGTTTGATCAAAGTCTTAAAAGCAAACCATTGTCAAAGAATATTGAGCATTAATGTTTTCCCTTCACAGTCCATGATTATTTTAGTTATTGTTATCCTTTCATGTTCTTAATCAAATATTAAATATTGTTATATTTGAATTATGCAATCATATGAATTACTGTATTAGCAACATAATGCATTTATTGAATATCATTGACCAACTTGACATCATATCTTATTAGGTTAAAAATATTTTAAGTAATTTTTATTAAAAATCAGATAAAAGAAGTTCCACTTTTACCATATCCCCATTAAAAATTTTTTACTGACATCCTATCCACTATATAAATCTTATTAATTTCAGTTGAATTAAATATCTTGAGGGCAAAGCTTTTTTGTCATTATTCTTGACATTCTATTTAAGATTTCCTCATTTTGGATTGTGAGCCTATCATGTACAAAAAAAAAAAGATTTCTTCATCGTTTCCGTTCTTTCTTTTAAATTCTAATAATTACACAAGATCATGCCTAAGCATGAATTTATTAAGCCAACTGATACACACAGGATCTATGTCTAATCTTGGCATTTCTATTCCGTTCTTCCAGAAGTATCAACAACAGTATTCCACTATAAAGATTTTCATGGATCTTTCTGTAGGAAAAGCAGCTTGGGTTTCATTGTGTGAGTACACCAGGCCCTTTATTTCCCTATATATTTATCTATACATTATGAATATCGAGTCAATTGGTTTATTTGTGTTTCTTATTAATTTATGAATACAATGCTTATACAAAAGTTTATCTATTTTAGATTGTCTCTTTTTCACTGAAAAGCTTGAATAAACATTCCCAGATAAGTAAGAGTACAACTTCTGCTCGTCTGTATTATTTCCCAGGTGTATTCTTCACATATTATATAGTTAATTGATAATTTTTATTTGCAATAATAACAAAACCTTTCTAAAACTGTTATGAACATGATATTTCAGGCAGTTTCTCACTGAATCTGAAACTTTTTTTCCCTCTACACTAGCTGTCTATTGAAAATGCAGGATCTTTTTTTTTCTTTAACATGTGCATTAACACATCTATTATTACATGGTTTTTTGTGCACCACGGTTTTCAACTCATTATCAATTTCCCTGAATATTAAATCACATGTTTGTGGCTATCTATCCTTTGGAATAAAATAAACATAGTTTTGATTACTGTTCTGCATTTACCATTCATTTGTAACCAAAAAATTAAACATTTCCTGGGACTTCACATCCATTTATTCTTGGAAAATGCCAGAAAGAGATTATCTCTTGTACTTTGAAGGATTACAAACCTGTTTTTATATTTTGTTCCAAATTATCTAATTAATTATATTTAAATAAAAGCAACCAGCTAAATAATGTTGGGCATAGTGTAATTACATCTTAAAAGTTCAATATTTCTAAGGGATTAATGTAGAATGGATACACCACAGTGCATGTTTGTCACCTATCTTTCCTATGTTAATGCCAGTGTTCCTGTTGTCAAGACATTTTCTTAACTCTTTCAACACAATTTCAGATGAGATCCATATACCTTTTGACAAACTAATATTTTAACCTTATTTAGTTTATTCATAAGATATTCTATAGAATATGTGTTTGTAAGAATTTTGAGAAACATTATAAGTAGCATCTGAACTATTGCTTTAATATTAATAGTGATCTGATGCAATCAGAAAAGGAACTGATTGCATTGTATGTTATCCATCCTATGAACATTTGACTAAAGAAAAACATTACAATCATAAGCTGCTTTTGAACCTACAAAAAAAAATAACATACTTCCTAGAAGAGGAGATACCATGATCATGAAGATAGTTTTTCTTGTATGAGGTTTCTCTATTGCACTCCAAATATGCTGACCCTTGTGATCTTTCCAAACACAAGAAAATCAGCAGCACAATTTGTGATAGTGGGGTACCTCATTTGCATTCTTCCCTAGAAATAAAAAAGCAGAAATGAAAGACTTAAAAATCATGTGTTTTTAGAAGACAGTGTTAAGCATAAAAGCTTTATGGTCATTGAACTCCAATAACATGAAAAATTTTATTCTAAATCCTCAGAAATGATCAGGGAATAAAAACAAATCCATGTATTATTTACATCAAATATATATGCTAGATTTTTGGAGAGATGGCTTAGAGATTAAGAGAACTTGTTTTACAAAAGGACATGGGTTAACTCCCAGTACCTATGTTGGGCATCTTACAACAGCACATAACCTTAGCTCTGGAAGATTCTGTGTTCTCCTTTGACCTCTTAAGACACTACACACACAAGGTGCATATACATGATACCAACACTAATGCACATAAAACAGCAATAAACACACACACTTGAATGCAGAAAGAGGGGAACAGACAAACAGATAAAGAAAAAGACAGAAGAGGGAAAAGAGAGGAGATAAGGAGGAAAGAAAAAATATATAGATATGAGAAATAGATAGATGATAGACAGACAGATAGATAGATCAAAGATAGACAGCAGGACAATTACAAAAAAGATAAGTGGAAATACTGCAACACCCACAAACACACACACACACACACACACACACACACACACACACACACACAAGTGCTACTTAAGGGATATTGAACACAAAGAAGGTATTTCACAGTTCAATGGTATGTACAGAAATTTAACAATGAAATATTAGATACAACTTCACATTTCTGAGATTCATATATTGTGCCACATTAACAATGAAAGACAATAATCGTATACATTGTGCTGATTTTCTTGTCCCTGATGTTATATAGATAGCATAAGAAATATTGGGAAAAAATTAGCAGTGTTAGGTTTTCCAAAAGGATACAGAATTGTGAGACATACCCTTGATTGTTCAAATGAAGTGGAGCTGATTCATTTCTTTCTGGTTGCTATTGAGTGGAGTATTGATAATTATTGGGAGTACCTTTAGAAAATTAAGATACCTTTGAAGTAAATTTATAGTACTAAATAAAAGCTGAGTTAGAAATCTCAATGAAGACAGTAGAAATATTTAAACAAACACAAGTATTTTCATTAGAATAAGATAATATGCAGAGAATTTTTAAAATAGAAATTGAAAATTAAGTATCAATAAAAACAATGATTAAGTAAATATATCTAGGAATATCAGACACACAGTTTTATATTTATTTGAATATCTGCTAACCAGAATGTCTAAGGTAGCTGAAGAAAAGACCACTGGCATTCAGTGATTCCTGCAACCTTCTGCTTTGTTAGAGCATTGAAGTTTTTTGTGATCTGTGCTCTTTAAACTCTTTCAAAATTGTACAAACACCCAAACTCCTTCCATAAAATGCTAACCTATCTAAAATGCCCTTATTTAATCCAATTTGAGTTTTAAAAAAGCCTGTCTAGTTTGGCAAAGAATTATAATTTAGGAATGGCAGAGACACAGAATCTCATATGGAATAACAAATGGAATACATAAATTAATATTTTAACTCTAAGGAGAGAGAATATCAATATTTTTAAATTAAGGGTCCTGTTATGTATTGATTTTTAGCATATTGAAGATTACATTAATTTATTTCCACCTAATAAATCTATGTCCTTCTTTAGTTTAATTGGTGAAAGTTTCCCTGTAATACATTTCGTATTTGTTTTTTATTGTATAATCAAGTAGTAAACCTAAGTATCTCAAACAACAGAAACTAAATTTCTCAGTTTTGTCACATAATTGCAAAATTAAGGTGTCAGGGGTGGCCATTCCTAATTAAGGTTAGTGGGTTTTGAGTTGAGTTAGTCAGGTTTTGAGTTCTGGTCCAGGCCTGTCTCCTTAGCTTGGAAATATCTTCCTTGTCTCATGTCTTCACATCATGTTTTCTCTATTGCCCTCTGCTAAAATAATGATTTTTTTCTTATATGATCATTAGTGTTTAGAGCAGAGTCATCAGTTACAATCTTATTATAATCTTTAATGTTAACTCCATCCTCCAAATAAAGCTATATACTGAAAAGAAGAAAAATCATAAGCTACGAGGGTTGGTTTTGAGAAGAAAGGAAGAGTATGTGAAAGAGGCATAAAATATGAGATAATAATAAAAATATTTACCAAAATCTAAACTTGGAATAATCTTTACCCTGAAATTCCAAATTAGTTTGTTTTAATAACAGAAAATTGCATTTCTATTGATAATTATACTTTTCTGTGGTTTTGCTTTGTATTATTTATGTATGTAATAACAGCATTTCAGAATTTCCAAGGTCAACTGTTTTTTTTCAATATGTTAAAGTTATCAAGATGGGAAATAGAAATCATACTTGAATGGTGATAAAGGAATAGTGAATTGGTATGAAATTAATTTTGCAGCCTCAATATTGAAATGTCATTGTTTTCACTATTTGTGACAGAACACCCTCACAAATAAACAACTTAAAGGAGAAAGGACCCAATTCGACTTCAGTACTGAGTTGTAGTTAATATAGTAGAGAAGTTAAAGACAGAGATGCTCAAAGAATCTGGGCACATCACATCTGTACTATAGAAATAGAAAGTCGCAAGTATTCTGCTCCCCTTTTCCATAAGATATGCAATTATTAGTTATTTTATTTAGTTAATGTAATCAAATATTACACTTCACAAGCAAGTCAAAAAAATACAAGCCTCCAATGTAATTCTAGATTCTATCAAGTTGTCGCATCATAATAGTGCTACAGAAAATGTTTTGTTTGGAGACAAATGAAGTGTGAAATATTAGGCACGTTTTGACTCTGAAGACCTTGATACATATAAAAGAAATGGATAAAATTTCAGTAAATTGTACAAAGGGATCACAGGCAGAATTAGAACATACAAATGTAATGTATTAAGAAACAAAGTAAATATTGTACCCAGAAAAATTTATTCTTTTACATTGCAATAAATGAAAGTAGTAAAAAAAAGTCTTTGAGTAGAAAAATGAAATAAAATACAATAAGAATGTGTAAAAATACAAAACCCTGCAACTGTCTAATGGGTGTCTTGACTGAAGAAAAGCAGATACACCATAAGGCTGTACATCATTCCATAATTTGTTTTACCGATACTCAATTATGTCATGCTTTGTTTCCCACACTATGTACATGAATCAATATAAAGGATGTTGTATCATATGCCTTAGTTGGCGAACTCAGTGAGACATTTGTCATAGGTAAATTAGTAGTTGAACTACTTGATATGTCATGTTTGTGTCCTACATTAGATTATGTAATATGAGAAAAACAAAGGATATGCCACCTTTGCCATTTATGTCTTTTATATATTGTCTTTCAAAGACAATAAACTTATATAAATAAATAAAATGGGTGGCAAGATACCTTAATAAGATGCTACCTGACAGGGTCTATGTAAGAAATCATTCAGGTTAATGTATGTTCGTGGTTTTAGAAGCTACGCTCCAAGCTGAGTGGATGAAATAAGTTTTGTCTCTGGAGTGCAGAGCATGACAGAAGTATGTTTAGGAACAAATGTGTTTATTTCTAAGTGGGAACCATTTGAAAGAATCTCTGTTGCAGAATGCATCTTTAATTGATGAGGTTCTGGAATCCCTATCATATTTAAATCAAAAGCAGATAAGTCCAACAAGCTCTCAATCTATGTGATACTGATAATTACAGTTTATATTACTGAATAAAATATCTTTCCAAAAAATGAAGAAAAAGATACCTGACAATATTGTAAGTGATTTCACTTTCAGAATAGTTTACAAAATCTAAAATAAGTAAGACTTCCTATGACAATTACAATCAACAAAGAACGTAAACACTTGAAATGGAGAACAAATTTTCTAATCTTATTTTAAGTATTCATATTCATTTTGGTGATTTCAATATTTTCGTTTATGACAGATGAAATATAATGTGTATGTATATCAGAGTGAAAGTGAGTCCAGGCAATATGGATGATCTCAGTAAGAGGAGAAACTACTCAATAAATATTTGAGAAATCTCTGGAGTCAGGGGACAGAATTCTTTGTCGACTATCTTACATGTATTTTCTTACTATTCTAATATAAAAGTCTTAATAATCGTTTCTGTGTCAGAAGGAAATACTCTCATTGTGGATGATGGCAAAAGAAATAGCTTTACCTGCTCTCCCTATCTGTCCTTTACCCAACTTGATCTTTTCGATCCCTCATTTCCTCCTCCCTGCTCCTCTAAGAGATACTTAGAAAGTGAGTTTTGTGGCATCAGGGAGAAAGCAGGCACTAGGCAAACTCCAAGGAAATTACAAGTGTATCTAAGCAGTAATAGAGAGGACACCTAAAGTGCCCTTCCCCTGTAATAAGACTGATGATTATCTTAATTGTCATCATAGAACCTTCATCCAATAACTGATGGAAGCAGACACAGAGAAACACAGCTAAGCACCAGGCTAAACTCCTGGAGTTCAGTCACAGAGAGGGAGGAGCAACAGTAAGAGCAAAGGAATCAAGAGCTTGTTGGGTGGGGGAATATCCACAGAAACAGCTGACTCAAGCTAGTGCCAGCTCACTGACACCAGGCTGACAGATGAGGAAACAGCATGAGACCAAACTAGGACTCTTGTCTATTTCCTACCTCTTGGCGGATAGCTAAATAATCTTCATCAGGTTCATCTTCTTATTTAGCTTCTCTAGGATCACGAATAATAGGCTCAAAGACCTTTAATTATGGTTAGAATCCACTTATGAGTGAATACATACCGTATTCCTCTTTTTGGGTCTGGCTTACCTCACTCAGTAAAGCGTTTTCTATTTCCATCCATTTGCATGCAAAATTCAAGATGTCATTGTTTTTTACCGCTGAGTAAAACTCTAATGTGTATATGTTCCACACCTTTTTTAACCATTCTTCTATTGAGGGGCACCTAGGTTGTTTCCAGGATCTGGCTATTACAAATAGTGCTGCTATGAACATAGTTGAACAAATGCTTTTGTAGTATGTTAGGGAATCTCTAGGGTATATTC